GGTTCCCCCACCTTCCTTCTCCGCCGCCTTGTCAAAAAGCACTTGGCCAACAAGGCGTGCAAGTGAGTCCCGACTTGCGTGAAGTTCAGCTTTCCTTTCTGGCATCGCCTTGCACCCCCCTTCCCCTGCCCTTCCGTGTAAGTAGACTTGCCGGACTCTTACGAGAAACGCCCTATGCGGGACTTGGCACTGCCTCCGGCGCCCCCCCCCCTGGGGCGGGCATCCGTCTGGGCCTGGGAGACTGGGACGCTGCAAACCAGGACTTCGCTGAATCCGCCAGCGGAATCAGCGAACGGGGGATGCTTCGACGCACAGCTGCAGTCTTCTCGGGTGCGCCAATGTGTTGGCCTGCTGCCCAGAAGAGTGCTCTTCTCCAGGGCCCCGAGCCCCGCGCCCCCAGGTTCGCCCCGGGTCGCTGCCAGGCCCCCCGAAGGCAGCAGGGTTGTCTCTTGGGGCCGCCGCAGCTCTGAGCACTGCAGCGGTTCCTAGGCTCCTCAGCAGCGCCGAGGGTCTAGGCAGCTCCTAGGCAGCGTTTCCCAGGCTCGCGGGCAGCGCCTTAGCAGCTCCTGGGCAGCGCTTGTCAGGCTCGTGGGCAGCGCCGGGACAGCTTCTAGGCAGCGTTTCCCAGGCTCGTGGGTATTGCCCAGGGAACCCCTAGGCAGCGATTCCTACAGTCAGATGAGTATAGTTGGTAGTGATTTATTGGATCGCCTGTTCACATATTAGAAGCGCACACGCACGCACGAGCACGCGAAATTTTTTGTTGCAGCGGCTTGGCACCAAGCCGCGGTCGGAGGCAACTGAGGGGCACCGCGGGGCCTAACTTGGGCACGGTCAGGAGCGGGAAGAGCGCGAAAGGGGGCGAGGAGATTGCGGGCGGGGGAGCGTGCTCATAGCATGAAGTTCGCGCACACACGCGCGCGCTCAGAATCGCTCAGGATCATTTTCGGTCTCGGACTCGAACTTGGTCTGAAGCTCGCGCTCAGGCTCGGACTCGCGCCCGGGCTCCGGTTGTCGTGCTCTTGTGGGTTATTCCGTGGCCGTCCAATGGGTTGGTTGTCCCGCGAGTGTCCCGTGGGTTGTTTCGCGGTTGTCCGTTGGACCGTGCCCAGGATTTTCCCGCGGTGGTCCCACCCGTACCCAATGTTTCCACATGCGTGTGCATAGGCGAATGATTGTGCATTGGTGAAGAAATTCGCTCACCAACACGTGTTGAACTGCATGATGCATGCGGGTGCCCACGAGGCCACTAAAAACATCTACCCGGGTCGGTGGCCAGACCAAAAGTGTCCACACCAACGGCACGAATACCATATCACGTGGTGGTGGATCACATGTTGCATGATGTATGGATTACTCCCCTCTCCTTCCCCGAACCCAAAATTTTAGTGTCCACATTGTATCCTCTGCGCGTTGTCTCGCGCGCGCATCGCCGTCAGCTTTGGATTTGAGGGGGGGGGGCTATCGATGTGTTGGATGCACTTCGCCGTGTCGTTGTCTGGGCGTGATTTGCGTGGGCACGTGTTGTTCACCCACCGTGTTTGCAAGACCTCAGTCGTTTCTGAGGTTGACGCACACGTCGCCCCGCACGGGGCGCGCAGTGTGAAAATTCACGCGATCCGCTTGAACTCGCGATAGTGGTACATCATTCGCGGGTTGCGGATCCAACTCGATTTTTAGGGGAGAGAGAGCGTTGTTTTGACAGACATGCGACGAGTCATATGGCGGCCTTGCCATTTTACACGGGTAACATGTACGAGCGATACGACGAGTCTTGCCAAGTATATCGGAACCGTGAGTGGCCCGCGCCCCAGCCAAGAACCCACGCACAATTGGTCGAACATTGCACAAGCGACAGATTCACCTAATTGTAGGCACGTGGGCAGCGCCCAGGAAGTTCCTGGGCAGCGCTTGCTGGGCTCGTGGGCAGGGCCGAGGCAGCGGTTTCTAGGATCGTGGGCAGTGCCCAAGCAGCTCGTAGTCAGCGCTTCCGAGGCTCGCTGGCAGCGCCTAGGCAGCTCCTGGGCAGCGCTTGTTGGGCTCGCCAACTCCCGGGCAGCGCTTGTTGGGCTCGCTGGCAGCGCCTAGACAGCTCCTAGGCAGCGGCCTAGGGGTGGGTGGGGTGGGGAGGGGCAACCGCTCGGGTGGACGAGGCGTTCTCCTCCTGCACCCTTGCACCCTATCGGTGCAGGCTGTCAGGCCAATTCGAGGCATGCCCAGATGGTCCGTGGCTGGAGACCGATGGCAGCGGCTGCTCAGCAAACAGTTGTGGTTGTCTCTGCTCTCAGATCATACCTCCGATGATCCGACGAAGACCAGGCATTCGGCGTTCGTCGTCGGCCTGGCCTGTCGCGCAATGCCAGCCCAGCATTTGCCGTTGGATCTCCCCTAAGCGTCCGCACGCCTCTTTGGCTAGTCTTATGGGCGTCATGAAGAACAGGTGGAGAAGGTTCCCTGGACGCCCCCGAATCTTCTAACGTCCTGCTTTTCGATGATCGCAAGGGCCCCCAGATCGTTCGACCCCTTCCCGAGGGCCCGTCTTTCACCCCGAGTTATTTATGGATTGCCCTGGCGCCAACAAAGGCTCGGAGTAGATGGGGTCGAAGGATCGCGCCACATCGCCGACGTATCGGCGATGCTGCTCGATGTGGAGCCCGATTTTTTTTGGCGCCGAATGCGCCGACGCATCGCCGACGTCGCCGATGCATCGACGATGCATCGCCGATGCATTGCCGATGTATCGCCGATGCGGAGCGATCCTCCGACCGCATCTAATTGGACCCCATTTGGGGGCCCTCTGATTCATTGTTGATTGATGGCCCCAGCGCCAGCACGGCCTGCAGCAAGATGCCGAAATCGCGGAAGATCGAGGGCAACGATAATTCGGGGGGATCGGCATAGGGGGGGATGCATCTATTTCAAATGATTAATACATTGGCGATACATGGTTGATACCAGGGCGATGCGCATTCTCTTCGACCGGGGCGCCAGAGAGAAGGCATTCGTCTGCCCGGCTCCTGAGGGCCGGCCGCCTCCAGGACGCGCTCTGCCGCCTTAGGGGCAACGTGGGGAGGGGATCGATAGCAAAGCATGGCCTCGGGACTCCTTTTTTAGCGTCGGTTAGCGTCTGGTAATCGATGACACAGCGCCGATCAAGCGTCGATCAGCGTCATTTTAGCATCGATTAGCGCCGATTCGCAAGAGCCAACAAGATGACATAGGAGGCAGGCACCCATGAGTTGCCACCGAAGGGGGTTTTGGTCAGGGGGGCTACATCGACCCCCAGTCAGCAAGGACAAACTGGACACAGACACAAGGAACCGATGGTTTTCATGAGGGCATGTTTCGAAATATGATAGGGAGAGGCGAAGAGAAACATCCAACGAATATAACAGTATCCTGACGACGGACCCAACTATCTGCAGGCTCGCGTATTGCAAGGCAGGTGGGACGAAGGAACGGGCAGTCCCTCTGGGGCCAACAATTGTCTGAAGGGCGTGCCGAAGTGGCGAGCTGCCGCCTTGTAGGCGCTGGAACTGGCGCCGTTGGTGGAGCTCCCTATGGCCTACGGGGCCACGAAACGTGTGAGGGGCGTGCCGAAGTAAACACCGCCGCCAAGCGGACCCTGGTATGTGGGCATGAGTTGGAGCTCGGCATGTGGGCAGGTGGGCATGAGTGGCATGCGGACCCTGGCATTGGGCCCCTGGCCTTTGGGTCTTAACAGAAGCTCCCGATGGGGCCACGAAACGTGTGGAGGGTGTGCCTAAATGAAGCGCCGCCGCCATGGGGAACCTGGTATTTGAGCCTTAGCTGGAGCGTGTTATGGGGCGACGAAACATGTGACGGGGTGCGTTGAAATGATGGACCGCCACCACGTGGACCCTGGCATGTGGGCCTTAGCTGGAGTCCCCAATGGGGCCCCCGAAACTTGTGAGGGGCGTGCCGAAATGAGACACGCCGCCATACGGACTCTGGCATTTGGGTCTTAGCTGGAACTCCCAATGGGGTCACGAAGCGTGTGGGGCACGCGCCGACATGAAGCACCGCCGCCACGCGGTCCCTGCCATTTGGGCCTTAACAGAAGCTCCCGATGGGGCATCGAAACGTGTGAAGGGGGGTGCCCAAACGAAGCGCCGCCGCCATGGGGACCCTGGCATGTGGGCCTTAGCTGGAGCTCCCGATAGGGCCACAACAACGTGTGAGGAGTGTGCCTAAATAAGGCACCACCGCCATGCGGACTCTGGCATTTTGGCCTTAGCTGCAGCTTACTATGGTGCCACGAAGCGTTTGAGGGGTGTGCCGAAATTAGGCACCGCCGCAATGCGGGCCCTGGCATTGGGTCTTGGCTGGAGTTCCCGATGGGGCCACGGAACGTGTGAGCAGTGCGTTGAAATGAAGCACCGCCGCCATGCGGATCCTGACATTCGAGCCTCAGCTTGTGCTCCCTATGGTGCCACTAATTGTGTTAGGGGTGTGCCGAAATGAGGCACCGCCGCCATGCGGACCCTGGCATTGGGGCCTCAGCTGGAGCTCCGTCTGGCGCCACGAAGCGTGTGAGGGGTGTGCCGAAATTAAGCATTGGAGGGCTGAGGCAGGAATGTCATGCCGATGGCGATGGTGATGATGATAACGATGTTGACTATTATGGCGATGAGGGAATGCAGAGGGAAGATGCAGGGATGTGAGGAGGGGGGAGGAGGAGAAGGGAGGAGGACGCGGGGCGCTGCTGATTCAAAACGAGGACCCAACTCAACGCAGAATGGTTTGGAAGAAAATGGTCATTCTGGGATGTGTGTCTATTGATATGCGTCTCCCTGGGGAGAGGGGTCCATCGAGGTTCTCGGACCTCCAGGCTCCCAAACGTTCGAGGCTTGAGGTTTGAAGTTCTCGTCTGTTCCTGGGCGTTTTCCAGCCTCGATATGCGCTCCAGCAGCCGCGCCCCGCCGAGGGAGTTCCAGGCGTGCCACGATCGTCCCGAACGGCCGCCAGAGACCCGAGCTATGGCCCGAAAACCGCGACAAGTCAACCGTAGGGGGGATAGGCTCGGGAGGGGGGGCGCATCGACCCCCAATCGCACATTGATCGTCGACGTGGGCCCGATAACTCATTCCCGCTCATGCAGGAATGTGCAGATTCGCTATCATATTCCCATCGCCCATCTGTCGGCGATGTGTCGCTGATTCCAGGTCAATGTTCCCCCCTCTGAGTCGGTCCCCTACTAACGTTGCCCCTCAAGGCAGGTCGCCGCCTGCGTCTAGTGCGCGCAATGTCTCTCTGCCGCCGGCTGCGGCCGCCGCCAGCGCTCTTGCGCGGCGCGGCCGCGCCGCCCGCTGGCAGCGGGCGCGGCTTCGGCGCTGTGGTGGCGCAGGAGTTCAAGGGAAGATGAAGAAGAAAATGAAGCATAAGAAGAAGAAACAGGATGACCATGACCACGAAGCTAGGACTCCTTGCTGTGGGCGAAGAAGATGGGGTCGAGTATGCAGCCCGATTTTCTCCACGCCCTCGTCGCCGTTGCCGCACCATCGGCGATGGATACATCGGCGATGCGACGCGATCCCCCGATCACATCTAGCTACTCTGACCCGATTTGGGAAGCATCATACTACTACTCTGATGTCGCGGGATCTTGCTGGCCCATGCTGGCCGCAGGGTGATTCACGAGTTGACGATGGCCAAGAAGGACGATGGCAAAGCTCGACATCGACGTTTATGCGTTCACTCTTAGTTGTAGCGTTGCGTGATATCCGGCCCCGAACTAAACCTCAGGATCAATTTTGGAGGTCGCAACGGCGCTCGCGGCTGCCACGAATCGGGGCAAGGTGTTCAAGGATTGGCATGCCCCTTACCAGCCCCCTCCCCCCCTCTGCGATGTAGACGCGGCTTAATAAATAACAGCACATCGACAGAGAGCTGTCATCTGATGTCCAATATTGACAGTCAAGTTTCTGTGGCTAGTGGTCGGTCATCACGCAGCCACCAGGGTCATTCAGCCACGCGCAGAGGTGGGTAGGTGTAGGGGGGAAGGCTTCGTAGAAGCAGCCCTGCTTTGTTAGAAGGCGCGGGCCTCGTCTGCAGATGTCGGTCCGGCACCTTCTGAGAACCAGCCCTCTCCTAAGAAGCCTCCCCCCTCCCACATACTTCGACTACACGTAAGAGTGACCCTTCGCCGGAGTGACCTTTGGTGCGGGCTCATCGGGCTCCCCCCGTTCGCCGAGCGCGATGCAATATAAGCGGCCCGCGCCCTTTGGTTTGGCTCCCTCGCGCCCCCAAGAGCTGCGCACCAAAGGTCACTCTTACCCAGGGTCACTCTTACGTCTAGCCGAATACTCTCGTGTGCGCGCCGCCAGATCCAGGAGCTGCCGCGCGCCGGCCCTCCGGGCTTCGCCGTGCCGTGGCTGCGGCCGCGGCCGCCGGCGCCTGCGCGCGTCGCCGCGGGCGGCCGGCGCGGCTTCTGCGCCGTGGCGGAGGCGCTGCTGCCCGCGGGCCTGCGGCGCTCCCCGCACGTGACGCTGCGCCTGCACAAGGCCACGATCCTCGGGCCCAGACCCCCTCTCGAGCAGAGGTGAAGCGTCCTGGCTGGCTGATTCGGCCCCCCAAGGAATGATCGAACAACGCGCCTGCACAAGGCCACGATCCTCGGGCCCAGACCCCCTCTCGAGCAGTGGTGAAGCGTCCTGGCTGGCTGATTCGGCCCCCTCAAGGAATGATCGAACAGCCTTCTGTGATTTGCCCGAAGTGTTCTCAGAGCATGCCTTGCTAAGACTGTCTCGTGTAAATGCATCGGCGTTCGCATTCCACGAACATCGTTGTTGTTATTGGAGCATCTTCTTGTTCTGAGGACATGTCGTGGTAGCCCTAAAGGAATGCCAGGACGGTCGGTCCCTGCTCAACCTTCGTGTCGTGAAGACATCGCGGCGGAAGGCTGCTGACTAATTGCGGCCTTCAGGGGCCTCGACGGGCCCCGGGGTCGTCGAAGAGCGGCCCAGGATGAACGGCCGGTTCCGAGGAAGGGGTCGAGACCTTTTCCGGGGCCACGTGGTGGGAAGATCACGACGTCGAGGACCTGGATCGCTTCGGGAGCGAAGCCGGACCCCACCCGACGAGTTGAGAAACAATCGCGAATCTTAGTGTACCCTGCCGGCCCGGCTCGCTCGGAACGAGTTTGGTAAACATTTCCTTGGCGAGAGATCCAACCATATGACATTGTGAGTACCGTTTTGTGGGCACCGACCACTTTCGATGGAGTTCCCTTTGGGGCCGCGAACCGTGTCAGGGGTGTGCCGAAATGGGCGCGGTGGTGCCATGCGGGCGCTGCCCCAGGGCCTTGAGTGGAGTGCCCTATGAGGCGAAGAATCGTGCGAGGGGTGTGCCGAAACGGGTGCGGTGTCGCCATGCGGGCGCTGCCGCTGTGTCCTTGGGTGGAGCTCCTTATTGTGCCGCGAAGCGTGTGAAGTGTATGCCGAATTGGGCGCGGTGGTGCCACGCGGGCGCTGCCACTGGGGCGTTCGGTGGAAACGTGTGAGGGGTGCTCCGACGTGGGGCCATGCAAGCGCAGTCACTGGGGCCCTCGGTGGAGCTCCCTACTGGGCCACGAGACGTGTGAAGGCGCGGCGGTGCCATGCGAGCGCAGCCACTGGGGCCCTCGGTGGAGCTCCCCATGGGACCACGAAACGTGTGGGGGGTGCGCCGACGTGTGCGCGGTGGTGCCATGCGAGTGCAATCGCTGGGGGCCTCGGTGGGGCTCACTATGGGGCCACGGCACGTGTGACGGGTGCGCCGAAATGGACGCGGCGGTACCGTGCGAGCGCAGCCATTGGGGCCATCGGTTGAGCTCCCTTTGGAACCATGAAGCGGTGAGCGCAGCCACTGGGACCTTCGGTGGAGCTCCCGGGGCGACGAAAAGTGTAGGGGGTGTGCCGAAGCGGGTGCCGCTGTGCCATGTGAGCGCAGCCATTGTGGCCTTCGGTTGAGCTCCCTGCGGGGCCACGAAACGTGTGAAAAGTGTGCCGTAACGGGGAAGGTGGTGCCGTGCGAGCTCAGCCATTGGGTCTCTCGGTAGAACTTCCTATGGGGCCACAAACTGTGAGGGGTGTGCCGGATAGAGTGCGGTGGTGCCATGCGAGCGCAGCCATTGGGACCTTCGGTGGAGCTCCCTACGGGGCAGTGAACATGTGAGGGGTGTGCCGAAACGGGCGCGGTGGCGCCATGCGAGCGCAGCCGTTGTGGCCTTCGGTGGAACTCACAATGGGGCCACGAAGCGTGTGAGGGATGCTTCGAAATGGTTGACTTGTGCGGTGGGGCCACGAAACGTGTGAGGTGTTTGCCGACATGGTAAAGTGGTGCGGTGGGAGGAGGGGGAGGAGGAAGATGAGGTGGGGACGCGGGACGCTGTCTCTTCAAAACGACGGCCCAACACCGCAGGATGATTGGGAACAGAAATTTGAGTTAGCCGAGGTCCCGTCCGGTCGGGTCCGTCGAGGTCCAGTCTGGTCGGGTCTGGTCGGGTCGTGCCGGTCCGAGGCTTGTGTGGTTCACCGTTGGGGTTGTTGAGAGGATGGGGGGGTTCTTAGACCCTGGGTTACGTAGCACCCCGCAGATGCGGATGAGAGTGACGGGACGGTGGGGACCCCATAGGAATCACCCCGACAAGCGAACCCGTTTAGTAAACGCACACAAGGAATGAATCGAACAGGGCAGGGCTGCTGAGTCAACGCCCAGGGCCGTCCAAGAATGTCAATTGTCGGGTCCGGGTGGTTTTTCCTCCCTTGAGGGTGGGTCGCGGGGTGGGTCGCGGGTGGGTCGCGGGGTGGGTCGCGGGGTGGGTCGCGGGTTGGTCGCCGGGTGGGTCGCCGGGTGGGTCGCGGGAGGGTCGCCCGGTGGGTCGCGGGTGGGTCGCGGGGTGGGTCGCGGGGTGGGTCGCGGATTGGCTCGCGGGATGGGTCGCGGGATGGGTCGCGGGGGGGGGTCGCGCGGGTGGGGGGTCGCGGGGTGGGTGGCGGGGTGGGTTGCGGGTGGGTCGCGGGTGGGACAACAACAGCAAACAACCCAAACAACAACACAACAAGCAGAATGTTCACCACGAATTCCTTATTCAGCCACGCACCCAGGGACAATGAATGACCGTTCGGCCCCCTCACTCTGATATCTGGCCTAAACTAGCTTGTAAGTGGGGTGGCGAACGGGTGGCAGAGATCTGTGCCAAGCGGGCGGGGCCCACTTGACAGAGTTGCCAAACCTTATTAAGCCACTGAGGGCATCTGTCACCCACTTGTAAGCTCGGTGAGGCTGGATATATCCCACCTCGGAACCCATCAGAGCTCCCCATGTCCCCTTCGCACCTCCAGCGGTGACCCAAGTAGCCTCATTTTCCGGGGTCGGGTTGCACGCCAGGCGGGCGAGCAGTTGGCGCCGTCGAAGGACGGCAAGAGGTCGGTCGGCGTCTCCGATCGCGGCGCGGGGCTGGTGTACAGGCCCGCCGCCAAAGTGTGCCCATGACCACCGCTTCTGGGTCGTGTCCTGGGCTTTCAAGGCGTGGGCCACTGTAGTGAAGAAATTCAGACGGGGCTGTGTTTGGCCTCTCGAGGCCCTTGGGTGACCTCAGGACGGTCAACAAATTACCCTGGCGACGTACCCAACCCCTGCGCAATGCGGGGCACGAGTAGCTTGGGAGACGTTATACGGAGGTGATGACGTGACATGGGCGCATCTACTTCTGCGAGCGGCATTTGTGAGGCTCGCAGCCCCCCAAGGATTGCGAGGTCCCGCTCAGATCTGCGTGGTGCCTCACTCCGCTGGACCCGCCACCAGCCTTCGAAAGTGGCGACGGTTTCGCAGATCGCAGCCCCCCAGGGACGGCGAGGTGCCGCTCAGATCTGCGCGGCGCTTCACTCCGCTGGACCCACCCCGCAGCCCTCGAAAGTGGCGACGGTTTCGCAGAGCGCAGCCCCTCAGGGACTGCGAGGTCCCGCTCAGATCCGCGCGGTGCCTCATTCCGCTTGACCCACCAGCAGCCCTCGAAAGTGGCGACGGTTTCGCAGATCGCATCCAGTGAGGGACGGCGAGGTCCCGCTCAGATTTGCGCGGTGTCTCGCTCCGCTGGACCCACCAGCAGCCCTCGAAAGTTGTGACAGTTCCGCTGATCGCTACGCTGGCCCCCAACGCAGCCCTCAAAAGTGGTGACAGGTTCGCAGATCGCATCCCCCCTGGAACGGCGAGATGCCGCTCAGATCTGCGCGGTGCCTCACTTTGCTGGACCCACCAGCAGCCCTCGAAAGTGGTGACGGTTTCGCAGATCGCAGCCCCCCAAGGACGGGGAGGTCCCGCTCAGATCCGCGCGGTGCCTCACTCTGCTGGACCCACCAGCAGCCCTCGAACGTGGCGACGATTTCGCAGAGCGCCGCCCCCCAAGGACGGGGAGGTCCCGCTCAGATCCGCGCGGTGCCTCACTCCGCTTGACCCACTAGCAGCCCTCGAACGTGGCGACGGTTTCGCAGACCGCGGCCCCCCTGGGACGGCGAGGTCCCGCTCAGATCAGCGCGGTGTCTCTCTCCGTTGGGCCCACCAGCAGCCCTCGAAAGTGGCGACAGTTCCGCTGATCGCAGCCCCCCGGGGACGGCGAGGTCCCGCTCAGATCTGCGCGGTGCTTCACTCCGCTGGACCCACCAGCAGCCCTCGAAAGTGGCGACGGTTTCGCAGAGCGCAGCTCCCCAAGGACGGGGTGGTCCCGCTCAGATCCGCGCGGTGCCCAACTCCGCTGGACCCACCAGCAGCCCTCGAAAGTGGCGACGGTTTCGCAGATCGCGGCCCCCCAGGGACGGGGAGGTCCCGCTCGATCAGCGCGGTGTCTCTCTCCGTTGGACCCACCAGCAGCCCTCGAAAGTGGCGACAGTTCCGCAGATCGCAGCCCCCCAGGGACGGCGAGATGCCGCTCAGATCTGTGATGTGCCTCACTCCGTTGGACCCACCAGCAGCCCTCGAACGTGGTGACAGTTTCGCAGATCGCAGCACACCCCGCGGTACCGCAGGCAAGATGCACACACAAGAGATCCGCACAAGGCAAGAGTAGACAAGAAGGAGGCGGGAGGAAGGAAGGACGCGCGAGCAGTGCTCTATTCAAAACGAATGCCCAAACAAGGAGGGTTGGGAATTACTCGGAACGAAAAGTCGGTCCCCTGGGGTGGGTCGTCGAGACTTCCTGATACCCGTGTCGGTCGCGACCGTGTTGCTTCAGAATCGGTCGCGGTTGGTCGCGACCGATGTTGGAATCGGTCGCGACCGATTTGGGTTGCCGATCGGTGGCTGCTGCCGATCACGGCCGAAAACATTTGCTATCCAATGATTCGGGGCGTGGGCGGGCAAATGTTCACGCCTCCACCGATCCCCGGGCCGCTCTCCGGGCCCCTGGGACGCGACCCCGCGGCAGTGGATATATGGTCCAGGGTCTGCCCCCCTCCCCCTTCATGCTGATGCCATCGCCCCCCCCCCCCCGCGCGATGGTCGCCCCCCCCTGTGGGTGTGGTGTGGTGCTGTGGGTGTGACGTGTGTGGCGTGGTACTGTGGTTCTCCAGGAGAGCTCCGAAGGTCGTCGTCTTCGCAGCCGCCGCCGTCGTCGTCGTCGTCGGGGGGCTCTGGATGTCGCCGCCGTCGCCGCCGTCGTCGTTGTCGCCGCCGCCGCCGTCGCCGTCGTCGCCGCCGCCGCCGCCGCCGCCGCCGTCGTCGTCGTCGTCGTCGTCGCCGCCGTCGTCGTCGTCGTCTTCGTCGTCGTCTCCGCCGTCGCCGCCGTCGTCGTCGTCGTCAACGTCGTGGTCGTCCCCCCCCCATCCCATCACGGGGGGGGAGGCCCGAGGGCCCGGAGCCCAGAGGATATCTTGAGGGCACGGTCGCGATCGGTCGCGACCGACCTGGGGTGCCGATCGGTCGCTGCTGCCCATCGCGGCCGAAAGCAGCTGCTGTCCACTGGTGCAGGCCGTGGGCGGGCAGAGGTCCCCGATTTCGGACGGATAACTGGAAATCCGTTGCATCGCATTGCTCCCAGGCCAACAACAATAACAACAACGTCTCCACCGATCCCCGGGCCGCTCCCCGGGCCCCTGGGACGCGACCGCGCGGCAGCGGATGCATGGGCACATTCTGGGGGCGCCCCACCAGGGGCGGCGGCCGCCCGGCGTCCAGCGACGCCATCGAGGGCAGGGAGGCGGCCGGGGAGTCGCTGGAGGTGGGCGGCACGCACGCCCCAGAGCCCCAGAGCCCCATCGCGGGGGGGAGCCCCAGTTTTCTGGTGTTGCTCGTTTCGCTGGCGTCGGCCCAGGAGCATCAGGGGGAAGACCCCCTCGCCTTTGCAAAAGTCAGGCGATCGCAAGCATGGATCAAGGGGGCGTGGATTGGCGACCGGTCCCGTTTCCTTTCTGGAAATCGAGGATTTACGTCGCCGAACGAGGCGGCACCGGCCGCATTGCGGGAAGGGCACCTCCCCCGGTACATGGATTTGGCGACCGCGCGCTAAATCCACGGATCGCTAATCCATGTCTGCGCGCCCCCGAAAAGCAACGGCATGTTTTGCGATGTTCTGACTTTGGGGGCCCTCGCCGAGCCCCGGGCCCCGGGGCGGGCCCACAGGCGGCTCGAGATGGGAAGCTGGTCCCGGGGACGGGGGTCGCGGCCTCCATGGGGGGTCCACGCTGTGGAGGAAGAGCGACGACTCGGCGGGGGTCTAGGGAGCAGGGTCGGGGCGAGGGGCGTGGCCCTCGTATGGGAGGAGGGGTCTTCCTTGGGCGGGAAGCAAACATCTGCACGACCGAAATGGGCACGGAAAGAATGGGTACAATGCCCAACAGCGGATCTGGCCCATTTTGAACAGGACTCGCTGTCCACGCCGCGGCCTGTGTCCATTTGAGACAGAAGGCCGCCTGCCCAACAGCGGCCGCTGTTGGTTTGGGACAACATTTGTTGTTGGGCATTGTACCCATTCTTTCCGTACCCATTTCGGGCGTCCAAAAAACAGCAAGATAAACGTGAACTTTGGGAGGTCCGCGCGGATTTCTCGGATCGGCGCTGGGGTCCCCTCCTTGGCGCGCGGAGCGCGCCAGGGGCGGTACCGGAGGCGCCGCCAGGGGGGCCCAGCGCCGATCCGAGAAAGTCGCGCGCATCTCACAACGATTATGTGTATATTTTTGTTTGTCCTCCTATTCTATTTCGGATGGGATACCCGGAAAGGCTCAGATGCCCTCTCAGAGAGGACTTTCGAAGGGCTGCTGAGGCCCCCCTTGCCTACACTTGGAAGGTCGCCCTCTTCGCCCCCAGCCCCCTCACGTCGCCCAGCCATCCGACCCCTGGGGTCCCGACCCCTTCCCCAACAGATGGTTTTTCGTCCCGGGCCAGTTGGTGACAGTCCCGGGGCCCTAACCCCTTCCCCGACACCTGGCTTTACGTCCCGGATCAGTTTTGTTACAGTTCTGGGGCCCGATCCGCGGGCCCAGGAGGCCGAAACTTACGAAAAAACGCCGGCTGAGGAAGCGCCAATTGAAAAACGCTGGTTGAACATGGTTGAACAAAGCCGATTGAACAAAAATGGGCGCGCGCCGGCCGAAAAGGGCGTGTGGGTCGTGAAGATCCAGCCCCCCCTTGACGTCAGCAGCGATTCCGCGGGCGGCATCGGCAAGATCACGCCGGCGACGCTGCTGCTGAACGACAGGAATCAGGGGCAACGTTTGGGGGGGTAGGCACAGAGAGAGATTTATGGACCCGCAATCGCCCATTGATCGCCGATGGGGGGCTGGTAGGCCCACCCCACCCCAGGAACATGTGGGTGTCCTATCGGGGGCCTACGGCTCATCTGTCGACGATGTATCGCCGATTGCAGGGCGATGTACCCCGCCGATGCCAGTCCCCCCTGATAGTTGCCCCTCAAGGAAGTGGAGGTTCATGCGATTCGTGAAGGAGGAGCCGGTGTCGCGCGGGTTGGTGCCAGGGTGGCGGCTTTCTAAGGAGATAGGATGTCCGAGTCGCTTAGAGGCCCTCCTGCCTTCCAAAGAGCCTTCTTAGATGTCTCTGGGCCCTGCTCAGAAGCCTCCCTGATCCGAGGGAGAAGAAGTTGCGGAAGCATCATTTGCCGGAGGTCCGCGCGGGGTGCTTGGATCGGCGTTGGATCCTCTCGGCGGCGCCACCGGCGCCGCCCCTGGCCCGCGCCAGTGATGGGGGCTCAGCGCCGATCCGCAAGATCCGTGCGGCGCTCCAAAGGTCTGCGTTGATCCTCGTGCGGGGTGGGTGCGCCGAAGTTTCGCCGTGGTGCCCGCGCGCGGCCGCCCGTGGGCGCCTCGTGGGCTCCTCGTGTGCCGGGGGGGTGCTCGTGCCAGCGGGTCGCACGGTTCCCGGCCGTGGGCGCCTCGTGGGCGCCTCCGGCGTCGGGCTGCCCAGCAGACTGCACGGCACAGCCTGCACCACGGAGCTTGCACCGCACGGCCTGCACCGCACAGCCTGCACATCCGCCGTGCGAGGATCTGCTGTGCGGGGCCCACGCTGGCGAGCATGTAGGCGCGTCTTCCTTTGAGAATGCCGCCCCCCTCCGCGCCAAACCCCGTCGGCGCGCCTCCAGAGGAGGACGACGGCCACTTCCCCCTGCTCCGGTGCGCCCTGTCCGAGCCGGGCCAGGTCGCCTACCTTTTCGCGGAGCAGGTGGAGGACAAGGGCCCAGTCCTTCGGGTCTTCACACAGGATCGGGCCTTCACCTTCCTATCCCCGCTCCCTCGCCCAGGCTCGGTGCAGGTTTCCCCTGGGCCGAGTCGCACGAAGGCGACAGCGGCAGCGGGGCCGCACGAGAGCGAGCGCCAAAGCTGTCCTCGCCCGGGCGCCGCACAGCTTGTGCGGCGCATGCTTCATCTTCGCCACGCTCATCAAGGAATTTGGCCGCCAGAGACATGGCCAAGTGCTGCTCTCGCTGCAACGTCGCTCATGGTCTTTCTGAACTTCGGCTCCCGCTCGTTCCTGGCCAGTGATTACACAAATATTGGTTATATCTCTCACTTCGAGCGGAAACCGCAAAGCATTCCGGCTGGAGCGTATTACGCATAAGTAAGTCGTTGTTTCGAGAACCAGCACCGTGTGTGGAAATGTCATCACGACCGTATCAGAAAGATGCCAGTTTGATTTCTCGTAGATGCGTTTTATTGTTTGGTTTAGGGCAGCAGCCAGGCCAGCTCTCAGTTTTGCGTCTTTTCGGAAAAGTTGTACCCATGGGCGCCTCATCGCCATCTCGCGTCACAACGAAGCCGTTTGTGTGCCGCCTGACTATGACCATATCCAGTGCCGTGGGGTCGTGTCCCCAAGGCTCGGGGAGCGGGGGATCTGGATACTTGCTGCCCGCCCATGCGGCCGGGCACATAACTATCCATATCCATCACTTCCCGATCGAGATCCCAAGTCACGCTTCCGGAGCGGCGGACGTATACATCAGCCAGCGGGTACGATTGTGGGTTCAGGCCGCCACAGCCCAGGAGGCCCAGGCCGCCCCTTCCAGTACGCCAGGCCGCGGCCGCGAGCCCGCCCCACTCGCGGGCCGGGGATGGCGCAGCCGTGCAGCGACAGCGACGCGGAGGCGCTGATCGGCTCCGAGAACACCATAACAACGAGCGACAGCGACTCTGACGCGGAGGCGTTGATCGGTTCGCGCGCCTACGCGCACAAGGTCGCCGCCGGCGCGGCGGCGTTGGCAGCCGCAGCGCTGGCAGCCGCTGTGGCGCTGCCGGTGCTCAGCGAGAGGGCGGATGTCTTCGAACCGATGTAATCGTTGACCACCGCGCTGGCCTTCGGGAGGGCCCCTCGTCGCCACCGCTGCACGCAGCTCGGAAAGCTGGGGCGGTGGGGCCCCGGGGGGGGGGCTCCCGGGGACGACTTGAAGCTGCCGCTGTCTCGGCTCTCGCCCCGCTTCGAGGTGTGCGGCGGCCGCCTGCGGGTGCCGGGGCCGGCGCCGCCGGAGCTCTTCCTGGAGAGGTCCCCGCCGAGGCTCCCGCTGTGGTCGCCCGCCGCGGCCTCGGGAGGAGCGGGCGGCGAGGTCCGCACGCGCGCCCGCCGCGCCTGGCCAGGCCCATGCTGGGCCCCGCCCCCCTCCCAGAGCATCTGGGGCGGAAAAGAGGGGGGTGATGACTAGGGCGGGGGAGATATCATGGCGGGGGCCATGATATCTCCCCAGATTTCATGGCGCCTTTTCTTATTTCATTACGTCCCTGGCCCCCCCGCTGGGTCGCGCACATGCCGCCAGTAATGATTTGCACCCCCCCCTCTTGGACACCCCCCTCTTGGCCGCTCCCGAAGAGCATTTGGGCGCACGAGATCTTCTCGTGCGCGATCGGTGGCGGCCGCTCGGCATTCCAGGTCGGCCGCGGCCGATCGCGACAGGTTCAAGACGCGGTCGCGACCGGCCGATTGGTCGCGACCGATTCTGAAGCAGATCGGTCGCGACCGGTGCCAGAATCAGAAGCAGAATCGGTAGCGACCGATCTCGTCGGCCGCGGCCAGCAAAAATTGGCATCCAATGGTCAGGGCTGGCCAGGCCCGGGGTTTGCGTGTTTGTGTGTGCACGCCGTCTTGGGCCCAGGATGGTTCTGGACAGGGGGCGGTGGACGTGTGCAGATCTCGTCGCCCTGGAGGAGGCGCAGGCCGCTTCATGCTGCAGGATCGTTGCGTGATATCCGACCCCGAACCACACCTTTGGGTATGTTCGGAGGCCGCCGCGGCGATCGCGGCGGCCGCGAATCGGGGCAAGGTGTTTGTCAAGGAGTGGTATGCATGCCCCTTTCTGTTCCCCCCCCGCTTTGCGATGTGGGCATTGTTCACAGTACAGCAACAGAGAGTTGGCACTGTGTCCATCGCGGGCAGATCTGTTTTTTTGCTGGTTAGGGGTCGTATGCCACGCGTCCACAGGAGTCCAGCGAGCGCACCTGCACGACCGTGGCTGCCGGCGGCGCACAGAAGGGGGTTCGGGGATCGGGGGGGGCAGCTTTCCGAAGAGGCATCGCGTCAGGTGCAATGTCAGGGGGGACGTCTGCAGGGGGAGACGCATCGGCACCCGATTGCCCATCCATCGCCGTGTGGTCGCATCTTTAGGCCAGAATGGCTGCGCGTGCATTGATGCCACACTTGGGAAGGTTGTCGAACAGGACTGCCGGGCAAGAGTGTATTGGGCGTCGAGGGGCTTCTCCACGCATGTGGCGTTGCCACCGTTCTTACGTCAGGGGGCAATAGGCTCAGGGGATAATGTATCGTCCCCCCTTCGCCCATTCATCGCCCATAGAGGTGCCCGATGGCCCACCCCGCCGAGGAACGAGCGGAAGCGTTATCGGGGGCCTATCGGCAATGTATCGCCGATTCCAGTTAGATGCTTGTCCCCCTGAGGTAGTCGTTCTTTCTCTCTCGTATCGCAGGAGGGAGGAATCACACAGACACAATCAGACGTCGATGTCCAGGAAGACATTGCAAAGTATCAGAAGTGGAGGGTAAGACGGACATCCAGAAATTTCAGAGACATGCTGGTTTGCGTCTGTCTCCCTGGGTCCCACTTGCTATCTTTGCCCCTCATTGCGGCTCTTTGGGGGGCCAGGCGGTGGCCTTCCCAGCAGGGCGCGCTGCCCGCAGTGGGCCCCTTCCGGGAAGAGGCCGCAGCGGCTGTCTAAAGTAAATGACGGAAGGTCCCGCTTGTTTCGTATGGAGTGCATATCGGCGAATAGCGCACAATATTGCCTAGTAGCGCCAAGCAGCGCCCAGTAGGGCCCGAATGGCGCTCAAGTTGCGCCCAAGAGCGACCAATAACGCCCAATAGCGCCATGCGAGGGAGACACATGTTGTCCACTTTGCGCGCGAATGGGCGCGCTATTGGGCGCAATGGCAACGGTCGAACTCTTGCGCGAGTTGTGTTCTCATTCTTGAGATCGGAAAATCAAGATTACATAAACAGAATGTTCGACTTCCGCACGGATTCCTCGGATCGGTGTTGGACCCTTTGGCGGCGCCTCCAGCGCCTCCAGGGATCTGGACATGCCCGCTGCCCAAGGCCTGGCCCATTCTCCTGGGCCCAGCAACAGTGCAAGTGTCTCCCTGGCCAAGGCAGGATGGCGGCATAGACACCGTTCCTTGGGCTCAGGATGGGCCAGGCCTGAGGCAGTGAGTGTGTACGGATCCCGTCGCCCCATTCTTGCCCCCTTCCTTGCCCGTCGCCGAGGTTGGCAGAGATATCCTCGGGGATGCCCTGGGCAGCGCGATGGTCGGCCAGACCGCGGAGGGCTGCCGCGGGCACTGTCTCGAGGAGATGTCCCAGGCCTCCCGAAAGGGGCGCTGGAAGGTGGGGTCGGAGGGTCGCGCCGCATCGCCGATGCATCGGCGATGCGACTCGATGTGGAGCCCGATATTTTCCACGCCGACGGCGCCGATGCATCGCCGACGTCACCGACGCATCGCCCATGCATCGGCAATGCATCGTCGATGCGGCCCGAACCTCGGACCCCATCTGCTCGGACCCCATCTGGGAGGCCTCCAGGAGTCCAGTTGCGGTTGCTACTCGTTCGACCCGAGCCGCAACGGAGTCTGGGAATTCCGCACAAGGGGGTTGGACGAGAGGGCGAGATTGTGACGCGCTTGCCTTCTTTGGCCTGGGCGCAGGACCCCAGGAGAGACCCGCTGACCGCTCTAGGGGGCGCGGGCGGCGTCTTCCCCTGGATAGGTTGGCCCTGTCTCACAGGCTTCCAAGAGAGCCTCCTAGAAGGCAGGAGCGCGTTCAAAAGGCAGGGTGCCTTCTTGGAAGCTCCCTCTTGGACCGTCCGCCCTGAACACCGAGACGCCGAGAATGTGAACATCATGACAGAGGTGGTATGTGTCTCCATGAGGGGGGCTTCCTGGGCTGGCCCAAAAGGCCCCCAACACGGTCCAAGAGGGCCCCAAGAGAGCCCCAGGGCTCCCGGGCTCCGTCGGATCCGCCTCGGGGCAATGGGGGGCGATAAAATGGAGGGGGCAGCGAGGGCCGCAGAAAGGGGGCCCTTTAGAGCACCTGAAGTACAGGACCCCAAAGGGGGCTTTACGCCCGAAAAGTGCAGCTCTCTTCCCCCGCTCATTTATGGCCCCCCATTCAGCGACGCCCAATCGGGACCCTCCCCCTCGAACTACCGTCCGTTGCGCGCCGACGAGGAACCTGTTGGCTCAAGAGGAAGCCCTGCAACGAGCTGCTCGTCTGGACGGAGACGGAGGACATGACGTCAGGAACAGGGGTCGACCTAAACGGTTGTTGAGACTTCGTTTCGTTTCGAATTCGTTTTGCAGCAAAGTCGGATTGGAGACGAAACGAGGGAACATGACAACAAACGAAAACGAACAACACTGTTTTGGTCAATCATTGGTCAGGAAGCTGCCGGGACATGCGCCCGAAGGTCTGCACCCGCGTCAAAGGCAAGGACGTCAATTCGGACTTGCTGATCATCGGCGGCGAGCGAGGGGGAAGATGAGAAGGAGAAGGCCCTCTCAGAAGGCTCGGACCCCCCCCCCAACATTCTGAGAAGCCTCCTGAGTCTTCCCCGAGGACACAGACAACTTCTCATAAGCCTTGGAAGTCCCCCGGCCATCGGAGAAGTGTTCTAAGCCTTCTCGGAGGCGCAGAACACTTCTCAGACGGCTCCGACGTCCCCTGGCCTTCTGAGAAGCTTCCTAAGCATCCCCGAATCCACAGAAAGTTTCTCAGAAGGCTTGGAAGTCCCCCAGCCTTCTGAAAAGTGTCCTAAGCCTTTCCCGAAGACGCAGAGAACTTCTCAGAAGGCGCGAGGTCTTCTGAGACGTCCCGCCGCCTTCTCAGAGGGCCTTCTCCTTCTCACTTCCCCCCTTGCTCGCCGCCGAAATCAAGGACGGGGAGCAGACGAGGTTCATTGACTACGACGCTGGTGAGTGCCAAAAGCGTTGCCAAGAAACGGCAGGTTGCGGTTGCTATGCTTTCGACCCCAGCCGCAACAGCACGTGCTGGCTGAAGACTGGTGCTTGTGACAATTTCTATGAGTGGGAGGAGACCGGGGACATGTTCAGCGGTGCTTGCCGCGAGGAGCGCCCTGTCCTCGATTGGCCCATGAGCACCAAGCCAGAAGACGGCGGCGGCCTGGCAGCGACAGCTGTCGAGCAGAAGCACCGGCCAGGCCGACAGATCTGTACTAGTGTGTTGGGGAAGGACATCGCCGACGCCACCGATCTCTCATTTGCAGTGAACTCCACGGCCAGTGCGTGCCAGAGCCGTTGCGCGAGCACGCCAGAGTGTAAGGGCTACGGCTTCGACCCAAACCGAAACAGCACTTGTTGGCTGAAGAGGGGCCCGTGCCAGGGGGACTTCGTCGAGGGGCCCGAGACGAGCGACATGGTGGCCGGCAAGTGCAGCGAGGGCAGGCCGCTGCTCGATTGGCCGCTGCGCGCCACGAGCACGGAGCAGGGCCTGCTGGAAAAGTTCCGCGTGACCCAGGGCACCAGGAAGCGGCGTCGTCGAACTTGTATACCTCCATCCCCACTGGGCCATGGCGTCACAGCCCCACGGGCCCAGCCTCCCGGGTGGGGATAGGCCCAGCGAAGCCCGAGTCAACAGGCATGTACAATAGTAGCTTTATACATATGATCTGTATGCTAAGACATATTTATAGTTATACTCAATCAGAGCACATAAACCTATACATCTATACATGTCTATATATAGATGTGTGTGATCCAAGGTTATTCAAGATTCACCCCCTCTTGATGGGATGGGCCCCGGGAGGAGGAGGAGGGGGAGGAGGAGGAGGAGGAGGAGGACGACGACGATCACGGCGGCGCACGACGGCGACGGCGACGACGACGACGACGACGGCTCCGCAGCACTACCCCGCACCAACATGGAGAGGGGGGGGAGGCCCCCCTCCCTCCACCACCCCACGCCTACGAGGGGGGGGGGGGGGAAACCCATCCATCGCGCGGGGGGAGGGGGGGGGGGGGGGCGACGGCATCAGTGTACGGCTGGTTCTTTGGATCATGTATCCCCATTCAGGTGGGTACGTCGGCCAGTGGGGCCAAGGCTACGCCAGTGGGGATAGGGGCAGGTTAAACGATGCTCAAGGAAGGACTCGGTCGCCTTGCTCAGCCATCACGGCACCTACGTCACCGCCCAGAGGGACGGTTCCGTCACCGTGGACGGCGACAGCGTGGGCGATTGGGAGTCGTTCGAGGAGGTGTGGACCGACGACACCCACGTCTCCTTCAGGACATTTCATGGAGGTTTCATCACGGCAGCCATGGACGGGACTGTGTCGGTTGGCGAGCCCTCTGCCAGTCCAGAACAGACGCGCCTCCACGAAGAGCACGAGGGCTTCTTCGAGCACCTCCTCGAGGAGATAGTTGATGTGGTTGCCAATTCTGAGGAAGCCTCGTTCGAGGTAGTTGTCGATCCTGAAAACGACACCGTCTCCCTGAAGACCTCGTGGGGCAACTTCCTGACATCGGTACGCGTGGGCACGGCCGACGGCGTGGTGATCCGTGGCGACCGCGACACGATCGGCAGCTGGGCTACTTTCCTGCTGCGCGCGAAGAACCAGGAGACGAGCTGGCTCGACAATGAGGTGACCCTGCAGTCTTATCGAAAATGCCTACGGCGGACCATTGCTGCACCCATGCTTTTGGAAGCGCCTATGTGGACAGGCGTTGGATCAAAGTCTTGCCAAGATCTTGGACTACATGCCCCCCCCAGCCGTTGTGGAAACCCTTTGCGGGATCATTTCAGGGAGGCAGACAGAGGAGGAGGAGGTACGGCATGGCATGGCGTGTGGCCCCAGCGGGGCTGCGAACATGCCCGCGCCGGGGCCCCTTCTGCTGCCGCCTTCGCTGTCGCTGCAGCCGGTTTCCGACTCCCTGTCAATGTCGCCGCTGGCGTTTGTCTGGCGTCCCATTTCGCGCACACAGGGCAGGTCGTGCTCGTCCAGCCCCAAGCACGCCAGCACCGCCGCCCTGCCCTCGCCCCACGGGCTCTGGTGACGCAGCGTCGTGGCTGAGCCGGCCCTGCGCAACGCCTTCCGCGGCTGCGTTTGGCGGCATCTTCGCCTGTCGAAGCGACCAAGACAGGAGGAGGAAAACTTGACAACCCGTCCGTCACACAGGCCAGCTGCCCATGGGCCTCCAATTCTGGCGAAAGCCCACTAGAGCCCCGTTGAAAAAGAGACTATGCCTTGCACCCTTCCTTCGAAAAGCAAGGAATGCGGAAAGGTATGGTCAGACAGCTTTGATTTGTCCCAGCTATATTTCTTCGACAAAACAGCATCCCCATCTGTGTCACGGCTTAGCACGTTTACATGTTTGGGCATGGAATTCGAAGACGTGCCAAGCGAGATCCCAAGCTGTCCCAACCCTCCAGCGTTGGGCACTCGTTTTGAACAGAGCACTGTGGTCTCGACTCCGTCCCCTCCTCCTCCTCCTCCTCCTCCTCCTCCTCCTCCTCCTCCTCCTCCTCCTCCTCCTCTTTCTCATCCTCCTCCTACATCCTTCCTCCTTCTCCTTCTCCTCCTCCTGCCTCCTACCCCGTTCTCCTCCTTACGGCCTTGTTTGCGGAGAGCCTCCACAATTGTGCAGGTCGCTCGAGGCACATGCTTAGCAACATTGATTGTCTTCGTTATCTCGCTGTTCTTCGCTGCTGCCCTTGCTCGTGGGCGTGGGCGGTCTTGCGCACCTGGTTAAACGGCTGGATGACCAGCGTCAGGATCATCTCGCCACATGGTCAACGTATGTGTGCGTATGGCTGTATCGGCAAGCTCGACTCCCTGCGCCATTATGCTCGTTGCCCTGTCCTGCACCGAGCTGTGCGCCGTGCTCTGGCGCGACCGTTCCCGCTTGACTGGCCTACGCGCTGGGGCCTTCGCTCCCCAGAGCTTTCCACGTACGGCGCGATGGCGGCGGCTTACAATATATGTATTCCGAGACCCGCCCGATCTATGAGTGGCCGCTCTCCCCCAGCCAGCTGGCCTGTGTGGCCTTTGCTGGCGTGCGCTCCATAGTGTTCGCTGCCCCGAGTGGGGCCACAGACGACGAGTGCCAGTCAGACGTGATGACCGCCTCCCTTCATCATTTTCGTACAGCTTTCCTTCGCCACGCCTCACACCCGCGGTTTCATCATCAGCATCGGCAGCGTCTTCCGACTCCGCTGCCGACACAGAGCTTGTTACCGCCCCAGAGGGTGTTCATGACGGACAGGCTACACCATGTGCTTAGCAGATGGCGGCACCGCCTCAGATGGCTACCCCTTGTGCCTCGCAGGTCCCGTCAGCGACTCTGAGTGCTTATCCGATGCCGATGTCTTCTGCGCCACTGCCCATGTCACGTGCCTCTGCTACTTATACGGCCCCGTTTCCGTCGGCACCGTGCTCCTCTGCGCCTTCAGTAGCCCGTTGCGGAAAATGCGCCACTTCCCATCTCCTCCTTTCCTGTTCCTCCGCTGGAGCCTGCTCCTGCTGTTGCCTGCCCCCCCGGCCCCTGCCTGCGCACGTATCTCGCAATCATTCGCTTCGCGTGCTGTCTGAGCCCGATCGTGCGACATCCGTCGGTCCCGCCACCTAGCCGCGGCTTTTGTTTCCTGCCGCCGCCGTGCGGCCCGATATGAATACGGCTAATTTCGCCGGCGGCACCGCACTCAACAACTGGGGATGGCCCGCCGATCCCCCCCCCCGAGGAGGCCATGCACCCTGGGCGAGGCTAGGACGAGGATATCCTTGCTACGCTGGGCCCCCGTTCATCCTCTTCCCCCTCCATTCGTTTCCCTTCTAATAATTCCTCCCTGTCGTGTCCCGCGGTCGGTCGAAAGGGCGGGTCGGGCGTTTCGCTTGAGACTTCTTCGCCATTTACGACCCTGAAATTGAGACGTTGGCAAGAGCTTCGCGAATTGAGGGCGGGTCGTTTTCAAAATTCGGTTTTCGCTTTAGCACAGCGCACATTCGCCTGGACAGACGTCAAAGGCTTCACGGATTGAGGGCGGGTGGTTTTCGCTTTAGCGCCACGCGCATTCGTTTTTGAACACTTGTAAGCGTTGCGCGGGTTCAGGGCGGCTCGTTTTCAATGTGCGGTTCCCGCCTTAGCGCCGCACTCCGTTGTAGTTCCACGAGTTTCCGCAGTCAGCGCACGGGACATGGCGTTTTGGAAGGTTCAGGATTGTGAGGGTGCAGCAAATTACGTTGATTCGCGGCGTTGAAGTCCAAGGCATGGCGTTTTGGGACCGTTCAAAATCGTCAGCACGCAACAGTCAGGTTGATCTGGGCCCCGAATTCGCTTTTGGCATGCGTCACGGTGTTCAAACAGTTGTCTCCCAGCGAGGCAGTTCCCTCAGTAGAGATGATCCTCTGTAGGGGCCTATGAAACAGGGGCTCGGAGGGGGGATTGTCCAACAGCGTTGATGATCCTTGGGTTTACATTGGTCCCCCTCCTCCTCCTCCTCTTCTACACCTCCTCCACCTGCGGGTTTCTGGGAGGTCCAGCGGAGTGGCGCCACACGCAGATCAGAACGAGGCCTTGCCATCCATCGCGGCTGCGAATTGCGCAACGGTCCAGATCAGGACGAGACTTCGCCCTCCTTCAGGCTTGCGAACTGCGCAAGTGTCGCCGCTTTCGCGGGCTCTTAGGGGACCCAGCGAAGCGGCGTCCTATGCGGATCAGATTGGGACCCTTTTCCTCGGGGTTGCGAACGGCGCGAATATCGTTGGTTTCATTGGCCCTGGGAAGGTCCAGCGGATGCTTCCGATCCATGCCCGGATGAAGTGGTCCATTCCCCGGTGGCACCGGGGAGCGGACCAGTTCGCGGGCGTTCCCATGGCGAATATAATGAACGGGGTCGCTCTGGAAATTCTTTACGCTCCGCGTATCCCCACCAGCCCATCTCACAGCAG